GGCAGGGAGAACCGTGCCTCCCCTCCCAGGTCTGTAGGTACTCGACTGGCCAGTGATGCCTATACGACCGGTGGAGAAGCTGCCTCCACCTTACACGCTACGGCGTGATTGCAAGTGCACCAGGCCAAGGCACTGAGGGACTTGCACGAGGGTGGTCACGACCCGGAAGTTCAGAGAGAACTCCGAACCGCAGCGGACCTCGCGTCACGAGCGACGAAGGTTACGGCGCGGTCTCAGGGTCGTGCGATGTCCACTATGGTGGTCCGGGAGCGGCAATTCTGGCTGTGACGATCCCAATTCGTCGGTCCTCCGATGTGACGTCGAGAGTGACCGACTGAAAGGGAACATCTCGGTTACGTATGTAACCCTCATTCCCTGAAGGAGGGAACGGAGACGTCACGTCCCGTCGCCACAGCTCCTGTACCACTGCTGAGCGGCCGGGTCACCGGCTCGGCTCCTCAGCGAAAAGCTGAATATGCGCTGCACCTGCTGCCTACTTATACTCATGCTGTGATCAGCAGCAACTGGATGCAATAATCGCATGCCAATGTGCATTACACTCGAAGTAGATTGGTCCCTCTAAGCGAGATCCCAATTCGTCGGTCCTCCGACGTGACATCTCCGTTCCCTCCTTCAGGGAACGAGGGTTACATACATAACCGAGACGTTCTCCTTCAAGTGAAAAAGTGTGTCTACTTTTAAATCTTCAGAAGCAGACTCTAGACCTACTTCTTTCAGCAGCTGTTGTTGTATTAAAACCAAATTGCTGTTGATGATTTCATATTTTTTTTAATTTTTAGCTTGTTTATTTCCACGAGATTACATTGTATCTTTATTAGCTGTAATTTACTAGTAGCACTTTGCCATCAGTTGATCCTATTTGAAATGTGATGCTAAAGCATTTTCATTTTCTAAATGCCTTAAATACCTCAAAAACAAGAGAAGCACATGAGAATACAAATAAACAGCACAACTATAACAGTTTGACTACTAAAATGCAATTAAAAGTATTTTTCTTTCTTTTTTTCTTTTTTTGGGGGTGGGGGTCCTCACAGTAGACTTTTTTGTCTGTTGATGTTTTTCAAATTCAAACACAAAAGCAACTTTCACTGCTAAATTACACTCTTGAAAAAGAAAGTAGCTGAACTGAGAAAATGTTAGAACTAGCTGACTTTTTCAATGGTGTCCTTTACAGCCGTGTTATGTGGAGATCCAGGCACCCCTGCAGAGGGCTTCATAGAGGGCCGGCAGTTCACCTACAAATCAGAGGTGTCATTCTACTGCAGACCTCCATTCCTGCTGGTGGGCTCCTCAAGAAGAGTTTGTGAGGCATACGGTTCATGGAGTGGAATACAGCCTTCTTGCATTGGTGATCCACTATGTAGCTTGGAAAAAAGCAACGCAATTCCATTGCCATGTGATACATGCACACATATTTATCTATTTAAATAAATTATTCTAAAAGGTGTGAATGTCTTTTTATAGATCCAACCAACAATGCATGTAAGGATCCCGGAACCCCAGCATATGGAATTCCAGTCCAGGCTCAGGGATTTGAGGTGAGAGCAAATGACATCCAATCATTTCTTGTCCTTTAGTTGAGTAAATAACAGGTTGTGTTTCTTTAGTTTCAGGGTTTCAGTCTCAATAAAGTAATTCTCTTCTTTCAGGTTGGAAGTAAAATTTTCTTCAGATGTCGGAAAAACTATCACATCCTCGGCTCAACAACGAGAACATGTTTAGAAAATTTAACATGGAGTGGGATGCAACCAGAGTGTGTTGGTAAGCATCGATATATACAGATTCTGTTCCAAAAGCTAGTGAGCTGCCCATGCTGGCAGCATCATAGTGCCTTGAGTGTGAAAGCTGTTCTGAGAAACCTTCTTTTGGACAAATTCTAAATTAACATTGCATGTATCCGTTGCACAGAAGGCAATACCAGGTTGCATTGTGACCAGTGTTGGGCAGTAACGCATTACTTAGTAACGCTTTGCTGTAATTTGATTACTTTTTTAGTTACGGAGTAATTTAACACGTTATAATTTTCAAAGTAGTAATTAGAGTATAGTTACAAGCCGAGGTTACTGCCGTGTTACATTGCTGACAGAATGCAGTGTTTTATAATCTAGAGATTGTAAAAAGGATGTAGCTCACACACTGTCGAGTCAAGTGCCAGTGGATTCGAGACCTGCTCCCGTGAGACCCGACGCAACAGAGTGCGGCACGGGACAAGATGGGCGAGTGCTGGTGCGGGCGAGTAGACACTCGTGTGTGTGCGGGATGCGGGAGAATAAAATGATTCATTGGACTCCCGCAAAATAGAAATATCTAAACATAAAATATCTAAAACAAATAAATTGTTATTCATCTATTGCACAAAAGCAACATGAACTAATATAAAATATAAACGATTAACAGGTGCACGCGTATGCAGATTTTCTATTTAGGCTATAACACGTGTTTGCAGAGTTGAGCAAAGCAGTGCTGAAATTTACGTGCTCACGAATCCTCTCATTATAACACACGAATTGGAGACATTATGAACGATTCATTATGCATATATTTAGTGTTATAACAGAGATTTGTGAGATTGCAATGAACTGAGATGTCTTTTAGAGATTATAAATGCAGCACATATCAGCTGTTAATTAGTACTTATAAAGCACATATTAATGCCTTATTCTACGTGAACATATTTTAGATCCCTTAATCCTACCCCATTCCTAAACTTAACAACTACCTTACTAACTATCAATAAGCAGCAAATTAGGAGTTTTCTGAGGCAAAAGTCATAGTTGGTAGTTAGTTAACAATGAGAATTGGACCTTAATATATATATATATATATATATGCCATCTCCATTTACTGTTGGCGACCAGAAAATTTAGTCTAAAAACAGAATTAGAGTATCACAGTGTTAGCTTAGCAACATGCTAACAGCAAACTCTATTGAAATCAGTTGGGAGTGAGATCTGATATGCGCTACATGTGAAGAGCACTATTTGCTGCCTAAGTAGGGCACTTATGAAGTTCCATTTCACTTAGCATACTGCCTCAAACGGAAGTTTCCCGTGTAGGCGTCTGACAGCAAATCAGTTCCTTAGGTTTTGGAACACAGCCATAGCATTAAATCAGAAACAAGGTTTCATCAGTGTGTGACTGATGATGTACTATCAAGAAAACAAAGTAGGTGAGGAGAGAGAGAGAGATCTTTACACAGGAAATTACTGCAGAAGGGCATTGTTTGAAGAAGTACAGATTACTTTAGTGTAATGACGGCTGAGGGTGCTGATGTTAAAGATGCTGACAGCTTAGCAGAGAGAGGTTTGCTCTTGCAAATCTACTTTTTGATAGAAGTTCTCTGAGCAGTGTCATGCAATTGATCCTTGCTACTGTCCCAGTGATGATCCTCTAAGCTCTATGTGTGAATTCCACGTTGTGATGCTTTTGTGTTGCAATGATTGCTGCAAGAGGAACATGTGGCCAAAAGAATTAAAGTCAGCTGAGTTTAAACAGCTTGTACATACATTTGAGATACATGGACCACTTTGACAGAGCGCCCCACCAAATCCTTAGGGCGTCTCGCCTGTGTAAAGCAGTCAAACTGTCAGAAGCTGAGAAGCAGTGAGAATTGAGTTGACGAAAAGTGAGGTGTGAGGACATGGCTCATATATTATGGAAGATAGCAGCACTCAAGGCATGTCCCAGAACGTTTCTCTCAGGGATGTGGCTTTATCTCGACTGTTCTGTAGTATGCAGCTGAAACTCCACTCTAAATATTTCTGATATTGCTTTTATTGCGATTCTCTACTTATTTAGGGATACTCTGGTCAGGATTTTTAAAGCAGCAACATTGGTTCGAATTATAAAACTATTCTAAGTATATCCAACCTCACCCGGATACATGCAGTACACTCATGTTAAGCTGTGTACTATATGGCATATCTCAACTGCTTGATTGTTTATATTGTCACAAAATGTAAACTATATTATCGACCAACAGTATATTAAGAGTTATAGTATTTCCATCTTTACCTACGTATCTGTATCTTATACAGCTATGCATACCAATGTATATGCTACTGTGTGTATATACTGTATATGCTATATGCTTCAAATCTCAACTGCTGGATTGCGTGTATCTTTGCAAAATCTAAACAATTTTATTATCCAGCACTAATATGCTAAATGTCACTACAAGTCATGAAGGTATTCATAATGTCTAAAAACATTGTGATTTTCTGTAACGCTTATTTGAAGCAATGTTTATTGTGAAAAGCGCTTAAACTGACTTGACTTGGCTCAAGTAGTGGCATGATTTTAGGCCAGAACAATTCGTTTGTCCATTAAGGGGTTGAGTATTTTTTTTATATTCAACTTGTCTAATAATGCAAGGTGGCCAAATCAGGTTTGTTACAGTAACAATAGGTGTCATTTGTGGGTGGGACGTGTGGGGTATATTCCCACCACTTTTTGCTAAAGTCCATTTTGTTCTTACCATTTTTTAAAAGTAGCTGCAAAAGGCATGTTTAGTAGATCCATCATTCTTAATTTAATTCATAGATGTAGCAAGTAACACATTTGTAACAAGTAACATATCATCATGGATGTGATGTGCAAACCGTGCAATGGATGTATGAGGAGCTATAAAAATAATGGCATAAAAAATAAATAGCTACAGTCTCTGGACCACGTATATGTTATTTTATTTGTGTTATCAAAGTAATGAAATAAACAAAAAAAGCTTTCATTTACACTCATTTAGAGTAAATATTTCACTCTCATGGAGGTAAGCAAACTAATGACATGTAATCATTATCCAGAAGTAAAAAAAAAAATGCATGAATTTCAGCTGTAAATAACATATCTGTAGTTTATGCGTCCTAATATCAGTAGTGATGTTCTAATATATCCACCTTAGTTCAAATAAGCCTTATGCTTATATATATATATATATATATATATATATATATAATTTTTTTTTTTAATTATTCTTTCTATGTTGCAAAATACATAATAATAATAATAATTATTATAATAAATTACATAAACATTACTGAACATAATACTAATGAAAGACAAGCAATTTAAAAAAAAATTCAGCTTCTTGATATTTGTGAAAATTAAATTAATAAAATTATGATAGGGTCTTATTATGTTTTTCATATAGAAGAGATATAGAGGGGGGGAAAGTTAACACTTTATTTGATGCTCCATTTTAGACATTTTACCTGCAAAGTAACTTTGCAACTATATGTCAAGGCTGTCTGCTTAATAATTGCTAACAATTTATTTTGATGGCCACATTCTACTGACTATAAGTAACTTTCCAAGTACGTCAACTTATTCTACTAACCCTAACAGTAATGACTAATATTCTACTAATACTCTAATGAGAGTTAGCGGACATGTACTTTAGTTGGCATGTCATTACAAAGTTACTTAAAGGTAGTAGAATGATGTCTAAAGTGAACTATCAAAATGTGTACCCAAAAAAAAAAAACTTATTAAAAGAAAGAAAGATGGCATGAAAGTAGTACTTAAGTCTGACCATTAGGCTCATTTACTCAGAATCACCAAAATACTTGCGTTCATGGAATTGCCCATTGGAAGTAATATTGGCTCCAATCTATGGTTGATCAGTTGGAACATCACTAATTGTTTTCTTTCTCTTTCACTTTTCAGCACATGCCTGTAGACAGCCTGAGACGCCATCTCATGTAGACGTGAAGGCTATAGACCTACCTACTCTAGGTTACACACTCATGTATACATGCCAAGATAGTTTCTACTTATCTGGAGGATCAGAGCACAGGACTTGCAAAGCAGATGGAAGGTGGTCAGGCAAACCTCCAGTCTGCAAAGGTACTGAAACAACTGGGCTAGTTTAGGTATGGGGTAGGATTAAGGGATGTAAAATATAGTCATGAAGAATAATGCATTAATATGTGCTTTATAAGTGCTAATAAACGGCCAATATGCTAGTAATGTGCATGCTAGTTAATAGTGAGAATTGGTCCCTAAACTAATGTGTTACCATATTTTTACCATTTAAGACTAAATATAAAGACAGAATAGCAGTGTCTGTATTTATAAATGTATGAAAGGTATTCATGTCTGTCAAACTGTTGTAGAAGTGACTCATTCTCAGAAAAACTACAGCAAGAAACTTTGATTAACTGTCATTACCATTGTACAGGTTGTATCCACAAATGTCAAACGATCAATTATTTGCTCTATTTTCTAGTTGGACCAAAAATAAACAGCAAATCAAATGAGGATCCAGACCTGCTGAAAAACAAGATTCGTGGTATAAAAACTTTCAAGTTCCCCTTAAATGATCCATTTTGCTGTCATCAAAAATAAACTTGGCCTACATGAAGTTGAACTATGGTCATTGGAAATAATGGGCCTGTAATGTTGCATTTCTGAAAATGTTATTTTTAAAATGTCAGCGTAACAAAGATAAAGGTGAAGTGTGATTATTTTCGGTGTTAAAATGACTGCCTATCCCGCTTTGACTGGCAAAGACCAACTATTTGTAAACCTTTCATAGGTGTTGTAGTGTTTGGGAAACCGGTTTAAAAATTATTTTTGCAATTCCATTTAGTGCTGCTATTAGGGCAGAAATGACATATTTCACCTTTAATGTTTAGCAGTGTCCAAAAGTTTTTGGACACTTATAATACTCTGCTTTTCTCAGAACTAACTTCACTTTTCTTCACAATTGGTTTTAGTCAATTAAATCAAGGGTTAAGTCAATTAAATCAACTAATGCATTTACCAGTATGAAGTTTATCACATTCTTGTTCCACTAATATCTAAAATCCAAACATAAAGTGTCTACATTTTTATGTATTTATTTTTAACAACATACAACTACAACATAAAAAAATAACAAATTATTTGTTCAACCCAACCCAAGGAATAATAATGTGCATTTGATCAGATATAACTGCAGTACAAGATTATGAGATGCATTTTGTGAATGCTTGGCCAAAGATATGTGTCTTTAATCTAGATTTAAACAGAGAGAGTGTGTCTGAACCCCAAACGTTATCAGGAAGGCTATTCCAGAGTTTGGGAGCCAAATGCGAAAAAGCTCTACCTTCTTGTAATGTATTTCATTTAATTACATAGATGTAGGAATAATTACTGTATGTGTTGTGTTTAGTTCCTGCAGATGTGTTCTCTTTGAACTCTGGTTGGGCTGGATTCTATGAGTATCTGGGAAAGAGACAGGCTGCCACGGTAACAGTCAGTGCATTCAATGCCACCACCAGCCGGGTCAACGTCACTCTTCTGGAGCAGAGCGGGGTGCACATCAAACTCTCTGGTACGTTGGAGTTTTCTGCCAGGTTTTGCCACCATGTTCATTGAAGACACTAGGATTGGGTAATATGATGGATATATTGTACGACAAAACATTTGTCAGTCGGTAGAAATTTTGCTATATTGTTTATATCTGTAAATATATCCACACAGATGTCAGTGGTCAGGACTACTTTAGGTGATTTTAGGTTACACTTGAGCACAGTGAGAAACATGGACTAATGTGTGAATGTAAAGAGGAATGAAGAATGCTATTAAGGAGTGTTGATAGAGTTATTTGTTGGTGAGTATAGAAATGAACTGATATGCGGTCAGCTGCTACGGTAACAAGATGACGTTCCATTGATCCAATTGTTGTCTTCTTTGAACATATTTAGGAGTCTGCGCTTACGTATTAAACATGCTGAAAGAGAAGGATTTTTTTACTTTGGGAGATGCAGAGTGAATAATTGAATTAGCATTGCTTCTTATTTCTTCAGTGCTGAGATTACATCCAATTTCTCACATGAATTGAACAGGCTTGATAGCTATGGATGCTTTCCACATTTACCAAATATGTTTTCCTTTGCCCCACTTCCTAGTCCTAGACCAAAAAATAAACAGAAAAGCATTACAAATGCAGGTTTATAAAATAAATTCCAGATGATGGATATTGTGGGTTATTTCAGTTAATTATTTCCTTATAATGTTTCTTCTTCTTCTCCTTCTTCTTTTTTTCTTATTGGGTTATTTTGCAGGAACTTACAAGAAAGAAGAAAATCATCTATTATTAAAAGTTTACCAGATAAGAGGCCCAACAGAACAATATTTTAGCAAATTCAAAAACGATAACTGGGCAATGGATGGATATGTGAGTAGTACAAAAGTGGTAATAATAAGTTAATAAAGCATTGCATTTTAAACGGTTATGTGATTTCCAATATTGCATTGCAGAAAACAAAAATATATATTACCTTTATCTTTGACAATCTAGTAAGATTTTTGAAAGGCATTTTAGGCAAAATAGGGCTATATATGAAAAAGTGTTTTCCTGTTATACCTGTTTATTCTTTATATAGGTTACTGCAGAAACGGAGAAAAAAATGTTTGTTTACCAAGGGCACATTCACAGCAAGGATTTTGGGAAGTTTCAGTTAACAAGACAAGGTACATAGATACATTATAT